TGAAGAAACCAAACTTCAGGTTTTGAAACTCCTTTTGAATTTGGCTGAAAATCCAGCCATGCCTAGAGAACTGCTCAGGGCCCAAGTGCCATCGACACTGGGTTCCCTCTTTAATAAGAAGGAGAACAAAGAGGTTATTCTTAAACTTCTGGTCATATTTGAGAATGTAAATGACAATTTTACATGGGAAGAAAATGAACCTATTCAAAATCAATTCGGTGACGGTTCACTTTTTTTCTTTTTAAAAGAATTTCAAGTGTGTGCTGATAAGGTTCTGGGAATAGAAAGTCACCATGATTTTTTGGTGAAAGTAAAAGTTGGAAAATTCGTGGCCAAACTGGCCGAACATATGTTCCCAAAGAACCAGGAATAACTTGATTTTGTAGTTTAGAAGCAACATATATTGTAAACTATTCCTTTTCTCCACCTTGTTTATATGGTAAAGGAATCCTTTCACCTGCCAATTTTGAATAACGAATATCATATCATCAACGCGGATATTTAACTGAGTTGGTCTTCAGGTTTAAGCTGGATGAATGAATATCACTACTTGTTCTGAAAATGTGTTTGTTGCTTTTTATCTCGCTGCCTAGATTTAAATATTTTTACTATTTCCTCTGCGTATGTGACAGTGAACCAATTCATCTTAAGTAAGCTCCCTTGTGTCATTTGCATTGATTTCATTTGTGTATCATCAATAAAGTTGTGTATTAATGTTGTAAAGAAAAAAAGAAAGAAGAAAAAAGGCATTATCCTTGTCCTTTGGTTTATAATCTAGTTGGAGAGATAAGAAACATACAAACCAAAAGATAACTGAGAATATCTGGAGCATACACTCATTGTCAGATATGTACTCTCTGAGAACAGAGGAGGCAAAGGCTTCTGTGAGAAATGAAGTCAGCTGAAATTTTCATGAAGGAGGTGGCCATTGTAAATGAGACCTGATGGGGTAGGATAGTTAGGGCATTCCAGGAGACAGAATGGGGAATGGTGTGAAAAAGGCACTGAGGTAGGACCCCTCTTTCTGTGAAAATCAGGAGACCAGTCTGCTTAGAGTGGAGAGTGGGAGTAAATAAATTTAGAACATTGGGGGAAGCCATTTGTGGAAAGCTATTTGAACATGATTCCTATAACCACTGAGAGCTACTACATAGTCTTGACTAGAAAATAATCGGGATCCATATAAAAGTCCCTCTTGCTTTACTACTGTGCAGTGTTGAGGATGTGGCAAAATGGACCCTTTCAGCCCTGATGGTGGCCATTTGATAATGGGTATTATAAGCCTTAAACTGTGTAAATCCTTCCTCTTAAGGAAGTAATTGAATAATTGGCCAAAGATTGTACCTACAAAACTGTTGATCTCAGCACTAAGGTAGTAAGAATTGGAAACAACTTAAGTGTCTAGCACACTGGATTGGCTAAATAAATTAAAGAATGTTCACACACACAATAAATATGCTGATGGAAATTGTATTACTAGGAAAAGATAATCATCTTCCATTATTAAGTGAGAAAGGTATTGTATATAGCAACATCCAAAATGTTCAATTTTGAGGATAAGAAAATATATGTTTAAAAAAGACATTAAAACTCCAACATTAGAAAGACCCAAAAAGGAACAGTAGTTATCTTTGGGTGGGAGGATAATGAGTGATCTTTACTTTTTTACTTTTTATTTATATGTTCTTATTTATCTAAAATGAATATTAATTGTTAAGAAATTTTTGAAAAAGAAAAGTGTTGAAATTGAAACAGGTAATTAATTGGTGCATGTAGAGTTAAAAAATTATTTCAGTTAAAATCAAGGTGAGTTGAAGTTTCCTCTCTGCAATGACAGATGAATGATGAAGATGGAGTTTATCATGTGAATTAAATGTGGTAACATATGCAAAGCCGTAATAATCTGGCACATATTAGTTAAGTAGGGAAAATGAGCAGCTTTGATTACTTATAATGCAGGTTTGATAGGTTTTTGGTTGACTTTTGTTTTGCTGGGGCATTCTGCCATATTTCAGTGCCATTTAATAAATAATAATAACAATAAATGTTAACCTTTATTAAGTGACTACTGTGTAGAGTTCTGTCATTCCTGCAAGGCAAGGCAACTATTAAACTAGTTTCTCAAAGTAATAGGGTTTTCTTTCTTTTCTAAGGACTCAAAGTGTTTCCTCATCCAAAATAATAATAGTAGTTATCTTTGGATGGAAAGATATTGAATGAGATTTAATTTTTTTTTTTTTTTTTTTTTTTTTTTTTTTTTACTTTTTGCCTATGTTTTTCTATTTATCTAAAGTGAATATTGATTTTTAGGACATTTTTGAAAAAGAAGTTTATGAGATTGTGATCTCACAGGAGATCATGTCTGAGGAAAGAGTTATGATTTGGTTTTAACCCCAAGTGTACCCCAATGTTGTCTGTAGTAGACAAAAACAAAATACAGGAACTGGTTAACTTTAAGTTGTTGAATGTGGTGACCTTACTAATTCATGCACATATTGGGACTCATTTGACACCTTTATTTTTTTTTGAGAGGTTTTTGCTATAGGGTGTGTGTGCTCACCAGAAAAACAGAGAGAGAGACAGAGAGACAGAAAGCGAGAAATCACCCCCCAGGGGGATGGCCATGCCACAATCCCTTCTCCTTCATTCTCCTCTCAGGATCTTGGGCACACACGCACATGTGCCCAGTGTGAGTTTAAGCCCCTGGGTCTGGGACTTGAACTGTGGTCGACTACATGGAAGTCCAGCGACATAGCCATTATGCCAACTGCTGGTCCCTCATTTGACACCTTTTTAAAGAGCAGAATGAGGGAAAATATAACCTACATTTTTCTTGCCTTTATTATTAGATAAGAGAAAAAGATTTGGGAGTAAGGAGGGTGAGTCCATTTTTTTTTATTTTTTTGGAGAGGTTTTTGCTATAGGGCGTGTGTGCTCACCAGACAGAGTGAGATAGACAGAAAGCGAGAAATCACCCCCCCAGGGGGGATGGCCACGCCACAATCCCTTCTCCTCCATTCTCCTCTCAGGATCTTGGGCACGCATGGACATGCGCCCGGCATGAGTTTTAAGCCACCGGGTCCGGGACGCAAACTGCAGTCTACTACATGGGAGTCCAGCGACATAGCCATTATGCTAACTGCTGGTTCCCATTTTAATGTACCTGTATGACGTTCAGATGAGAGCACCCTATTATCGTTTGACTGTATTGATCTGGCACTCAGAGGAGATGACTGAGTTGCAAATAAGGATGAGAGAGCCATCAGAAGATGGATAGATGGTCATTGAGGACATCGGAATGGATGTGACTTGCAGAGAAAAAGTACAGAGCCAGAGGCGGGAAAGCACAGCATGGAAACTGAATGTACACTTCCAGACACTTTTACTACTCATATAATCATATATTCTGTCATAAAATTGGAGTATACTATAGATAAAATTGCAGAGCCTGATTTTTTTTTCCTTCAAAAAACAAAAATAAATATTTATTGGGAACACTTGGAAAAATAGAGTTGGTGAATGCAAACTTGTTTCCTGACCCAGAAAGGTAGCTTGAACATGTAAAAAAATTTAGATCCAGCCCTGTTCAATTTGAGGTGTTGAGTAATTGTTATACCTGGGGTAAAAATGAGATTAATGTGAGGAATAAAAATCCACAGTGAGGCATGCAGGAACCTGACTGGCACCCATCTGCTTTTTTCTCCTTGTGTGGTTCCTTCTCATTCTTCTTTCCTCTCTCTCTCTTCCTCCCTCACACTTTTGTCTTTATTCCTCCTTTTGGGAGACTGTTGTTAGCCTCCCTGTGTGTCTATGTGTTTGTCGGGGAAGGGGAGGCGGCATTTGAGTCCCATGACACCATGCCTGCATTCTCCAGTGGGTATTTAATACAGAATAATAATTGTTGCTGTGGTCATGAGGTGACCCCAAGTGTGACTGGGCCCCAGGACTTTCTGGAACCCTAGTTGAACAGAACAGAGACTGAGAAGGAGCCAGTCTTAGCTTGGCGCAGCTGCATATGCTCTGCATGTACATTTGCTGCTCTTGCGCATTTTGGGGAGGGCAGAGTTCTAGGATTGTGGCTGTGGTTGTGGTGGCTCAAGGAGGCAGAGACGAGGTAGTGTCATCTCTTTAGAGAGAATGGCAGCTCCTGGGAAACTGAGGGAACGAGAAACGCAGGGGATATCCTGCTATTTTGGTTTTGTTCTCATCTAACAACTGTAGGATCTGTCTTGCCCAAATGTGTTCAAAGGTGATTTTATAATGATGGAGTTGTGTTCTGTTACAAATTGTCACCCAAAGCATAATATTTCAAGGATCAGGAACGGGATTTTTAATTTTTTTTTATTTCTAGAGTGCATGTGAATGAGAGAGAGAAAGAGAGAGAGAGAGAGAGAGAGAGAGAGAAAGTCCCTCAATGGAACATGGTCCCGCTGCAGTCTATTTTCTATTTATCTATCCTGTCAGGATTTGGGGCATGTACACACACACACCTGTCATGTCTTTTGAGTCACTGGGTCCAGGACTCAAACCATAGATGACGGGGCATGTGAAATCTGGTTCACTTAACCACTAGGTCATGGTGCCAGCTCAGGTTTCTGTATTTTTAATTCACATTTTACCTGCCTTTTTTTTTTCAAAATGATCCCACATATAGGTTTAGCAAATGTGTTTCAGGCAAAATTTATATTTATGACTTTTTCAGTTAATTTTTCTGCTAAGTTCTTTTGAAAATGGGCTTTCTAAATAGTTATCATGACTCTTTTCAATGCTATTTTTTTACATTAATTTTATATTGATTCTAAGTTCAATTTTCTCTATTTAAGCTGTGGATCAAGCCAGCCAATGGCATGATGTTTGGGGAAGCTCAATCCCACATGGCTGATTACTATTAGAGTCCTGCACCTGGTGGCTTGAGGAACACACTAGGCAAGTGTGTGTGTGCATGTCCAAAGTTGTGAAAGGAGAAATGGAGAGGGAATTGCAATGTGATTGACATAGTGGGGTGCTTTGTCACTTTCTTCTCCCTTCTTGCCTTTAATCCAGAGCTATCTTCCTGTCATCCAGGGGTCCCTGGTCAACCCTACCTACTTTGAGAGTGTGGTATGAAGAGAATAAGGGATGTTTACTTTTTAGAGCAGTATTCCTCCCTACCTTACCCTCTCCACTGGTGCCCTCTCAGGACTCTGTTAAAGACTTGGGCAATGTGTTTGGGGATGGGTGTGGATGAGGAGAAGGAAAAGTGAAGGAAGAAAGACTTACTGGGGGCTAACTTTATCCTCACAGATTCACACACATATAATTCAATCCACCATGACCATAATAGTGGTCCGTGTCACTCTCTGACCCTGTGGACCATTATTTTAAAAAATGAAAGAGTAGGTGTAATACAAACCTCTGATCTGTGTTTGAACATAGAACTTCCTTGTTTATTGAGCATTTCTCAGTTTGTAGAAGACATGAGATGTTATCATATGAGGTGGGATTTCCTTTTAAAATAAAAAAATAGTATTATAATTTGTTACTGCAGGAAGTATACTTATCAAGCAGACCAGATTCTTAGTGTTTTCTTCTCAGAACATTCTCTCCCCATGATCAATTTACATGCGAAATCAACTTATCACAGAAGGTTGTTTATGTAGTGCTCAGGGAACTTAGCCAACTTAGTTAGATGTTGGTGCCCTCAAATTAGGAGAACCTGGTATATCCATCTCTGCTACTGGAATTGACTTGTTGCTGAAATTCAATACTCATATTCAAGAGTTACAGCACATTTCTTTCTGGACAAAATTGTAAGTTTTGTCTGTCTAGGTACATCTTTGGTAGAGACAGAACATCAGTGAGTGATATTTTTATGACTATTAAGACAATATGATCAAATTGGCTACAGAGTTTGAGAGGTATATACTCTGTTTTTAGAAATATGATTCATTCTTTTTAAAATTTCATTTTATTTTTAATTGGCAAATAAGAGTTTATATTTATGGGGTACAATGTGATGTTATGACACATCTATACATTTTGGAATTATTAAAACAGGTTTATTAATGTGTGTATCACCTCACATAGCAATTCTTTGTGATGAGAACATTTAAAATATACTCTTTTAGCAATTTTTTTTTTTTTGGAGAGGTTTTTCACTATAGGGCGCGTGCACTCGCCAGACAGACAGAGAGAGACATAGAGACAGAAAGCGAGAAATCACTCCCCAGGGGGGATGGTCACGCCGCAATCCCTTTTCCTCCATTCTCCTCTTGGGATCTTGGGCATGCATGCACACGTGCCCGGCGTGAGTTCTAAGCCACCAGGTCTGGGACGTGAACCGCGATCGACTACGTGGGAGTCCAACGGCATAGCCATTATGCTAACTGCTGGTTCCCTCTTTTAGCAATTTTGAAATATATGTTATTACTGACTATAGTTGTGCAGCTGTGCAGTAGGTTACTAGAAGTTATTTCTCTTTTCTAACTGAAAATTTGTACCCTTTGACTAAAATCTTCCCTTTTCCTGTCTATCTCCCCACCTCTAACTTCTGTTAGGCACCATTCTACTCTCTTTTGCTGTGAATTCTGCTTTCTTAGGTTATGCACGTAAATGAGATCATGTGGTATTTGTCTTTCTGTGTCTGACTTATTTCACTTAGTCCTCTAGATTGATCCATGTTGCCAAAATTGACAGAATTTTTTCTTTTCTTTTTTTTTTAAAGTTGTATAGCATTCTATTGTGTATTGATACTACATTTTCTTTATCCACTTATCCATTCATAGGTACTTAGGTTGTTTCCATATCTTGGCTTTCATCAATAATGGTACAATAAACATGAGAGTGCAGATATCTCTTCAACATGGTGATTTCCTTTTCTTTAGATATATTCCTAGAAGTAAGATTGCTAGGTCATATGGTAGTTCTGTTTCTAGTTTTTTGAAGACCCTCTGTACTGTTTTCCATATTGGCTATACTAATTTACATTCCCACCAACAATGTGCAAATTACACACCTCACCAACAATTATCTTATGTGTTTTTAATACTAAGTGTTCTAACATGTGTGAAGTGATAGCTTATAGTG